ACGTCAGGTCTTCCACAAGAACAGAACTTATTTTTTAAATGCTTAGCCATCTCTCCAGACTGAGTGTTGCCTGTTTAATTCAACACATGAAATCACAAGGGTCACTAGTTCTACATAATTGGTCTGGGTAACAAATTTCGATATATGTGCAGAAAATACCAGTAATGAAAATCTGTTCTCCGCAAACACTGAGCGCTTCTAAGAGGCCAGGGAAATAGCCCCTGAACAGCTCCAATTTAAACTTGTTCCTTATTTGTGTACAAGCCCTGGGTACTACATAAACATTTGGACTCCAGCACCGTACTTCCAGAAAGAGAGGTAGGAATCGTGTCCTTTTGTAATTGTCTTTAACGCTTAGCACCATGATAGAAAGACTACATCATCACAAGAAGAAGGGAGAGAGGATGGCAGAAAGGGGAAAATTAACTGTAGGAGACAAAGCATGTGAGGAATAACTTATGAGAAGTCAGAAGACACTGGCTTTTGCAAACAAATGGACAGATGGGGAATTCTTGGATAAAGAGAGTCTGAATGATTGTACTGGGGTTAAGCAGTGAGTTTCCAAAATAAGGAAACGATTTGTTAAATGACCTGGGTGAGAGAAGAATTTAGGCCCTGTTAGAATATGGTTGGGAATAAATATTATTTTCAAGACAGGTTCTTACTACGTAGCCAAACCTGGCCTGGACCTTCTTTTTAAAAAAACTGACAATTTTGTATATGTATATAATGTATTCACCCCATTGCCCTCTCTTATTATTTCCCTACTTCCTCCCAACTCCCTCTTCTCAGCAAGCCCCCCTCCTGAGCGGGGACTCCCTGCGACCCAGAGTCTGAGATTGTTTACATATGTGTGGACTGTGGACTTGGAGTTGTTTACTGTAGCATGGGCAACTTAGTGGCTACGTTCCTGAAGAAAAATGATGACTTCTTTGGCAGCCAGGATCTGCCAACAGCTGCTCATGAGCACTTTCCCTGGCTGTGATGGAATGTGGATGGTCTCGGTCTTGTCCAAGTGACCACAGCTGCTGTGCTTCATGACTACAATGGCCACATCGTGCCCCAAAGACAGCATCTCACAGAGCGCTTTCTCACACTACAGCTCTTACATTCCTTCTGCTCCCTCTTCAACCTTATCCCCTGAGTCTTGGGTTGGGGTGGGGGTGGGGTGAAGAGTGGTATAATGTTCTGTTTAGGTCTGAGCACTCAGCTGTCACCTATTCTCAGCATTCTGAGCAGTTTCCGAGCCTCCGTGCTAACTGAGGTGGGTGATGGGAAACTTGATTGGGATTCACCGCCTCCCTGAGTTAGAACGCGCTCAGCTTCAGCTTCTAAGCCTCTCCGTGTAATAAGCGCGGTTGCAAAATACTATTCTAGTTTCCTTTTCCATTGCTGTGGTAAAACACTCTGAGAAAAAGCAACTTGGTGAGGAAAACGTTTATTTCATCTTACATTTCCAGGTTCCCATCCATCACTGAAGGAAGTCAGGGCAGGAACCTGGAGGCAGGAGCCGAAGCACAGACGATAGAGGAATGCTGCTTCACAGCTTCTGAGAATGTTCAGGATAAGAGCAGCCATCAGTGGGGTCCCCTTCTAAATAACAGCTAATGCTATCTCCAAAGAGAACAACGACAGCAACAACAACAAAAAAAAGAGAGGTGTTTATACAGTTGGAAACGAGGAAAATTAAATGAAGGGATTATCCATTAAGTTCCAAAGGACAGCGTCAAATACGGTATGTGCAGGCCAGTTTTACTCCATAGTTATTAAAGTCAGGAGTAAAAGTTCATAGGTCTCCAGACCACAAAGTACCATAGTTGGGCCCGATGTCAGAGACTGAGCTTAACTCAGAAATCACGGGCTTTGATCTGAAGATTTTTAGTTGTCTTTTAAATTCAACACGTGCAATTACAATTTAAACAGCATGGGGGATTTAAAAGTAGCAGCAGAGAAATACAATACAATCCAGAGTACTGGGCTGAGGATGATGTCCATATTTGGGTTTAAATCTTACTAACACTAATAACCCACATGTCTTTGAACATATTTTAAGAAGCACTTAAATTCCCTGGGCCTCAGTTTCATTGCCTGTCAAAGGACAGAGTTACATGAAATTCAAAATAGCAGTAGTTCTACGGTACCAAATATTATAAGGATTTTTTTTTTTTGAGACAGGGTTTCTCTGTGTAGCTTTGCGCCTTTCCTGGAACTCACTCGGTAGCCCAGGCTGGCCTCGAACTCACAGAGATCCACCTGGCTCTGCCTCCCAAGTGCTGGGATTAAAGGCATGCGCCACCACCGCCTGGCTATAGGATAGCTCAGCCATTAAAGGCTAGGCTCACAACCAAAAATATAAGGATTATTTTTAAGAAATGTACAGGTGGGCCAGGGGTGGTGGCATATGCTTTTAATCCCAGCACTCAGAGGGCAATGGCAGGTGGATCCAGGACAGCCAGAGCTACACAAAGAAACCCTGTCTCAAAAAAAAGAAAGAAAGAAAGAAGAAGAGGAGGAGGAGGAAGGAGGAGGAGGAGGAAGGAGGAGGAGGAGGAAGGAGGAGGAGGAGGAGGAGGAGGAGGAGGAGGAGGAGGAGAAGAAGAAGAAGAAGAAGAAGAAGAAGAAGAAGAAGAAGAAGAAGAAGAAGAAGAAGAAGAAGAAGAAGAAAAGAAATCTACAGGTAGGCAAATGCATTAGTCACTGTAGTTTGACTACTGCAGCTGACAAGCCCACGACTCAGTGGCTTACTTGACAAATCTTTGTGGTTTTCCAATGGCTGACAGGTGGTGATGGTAGCAATAGTGGGTGTGTATACTGAGGATTCCACGTCACGGTTTATTCATAGATAGAGGCTGCCTCCACCTGTCTCCCGTTGCACTCCCGTCTTCTAATATCTCTGAGTTCTCTTCCTGCATCTTCCCAGTGAACCAGCAAATGTAGATAATGGAGCTGAAGATTGCTTTTGAGGCCAAGCCTGGAATATATCACTCCTGTTTATAGTTGAGCAATTGGAACTTAGTCACATGTTCCCATCGAACCTGATTAAGGAGTTTTAATTCAGCTATGTACCCAAGAGTAAAAAAGAAAAATGACTTGGTGAACACAGAATGGTCTGTGCTTGAGTGTCCTTGCCTGGTCACCTGATATTGGGCTCACTATGTCTCCCTTTTGCAGAACACAATACTCTTCTCAAGGGAGGTCACCCAAGGTCCTACCCTGCACAGAGTCCCTGATCTCTGAGTTATGCCCTGTCTTAGTTATCTTTCAGTTTCTATGATAAGTCATAACCAAGGCAACTTATAAAAGAAAACATTTAATGGAGGCTTACAGTTTCGGATGGTGAGTCCATGGCCATCACATTGGGAGCATGGTGCTGGAGCAGTAGCTGAGAGCTTATATCCTGATCCACTAGCATGAGGCAGAGAGAGCTAACTGGAATGACTCAGGACTTTGGAAGCCTTAAAGCTTGCCCCCATTGACACATCTCCTCCAATGAGGCCACACCTTCTAATCCTTCCCAAACAGTTCTACCAAACTGGAGACCAAGCATTAAAATAGATGAGCTCCTGGAGGCCATTCTCATTCAAACCACTACATGCCCAGTACTCCAATCAGGTATAGCTGTGGCAATTTGTAGACTTGGACCTATGGGTATAAAAGGGTGTATACTACTCCCCAATGTATTGGTGAGGCAGGATCTAGATGACCTCAGTGAAAGTTCCCACTTGTCAAGGGGAAGGACAGAAGTCACAGCAATCACCAGGCTAAAGTGGTTCAGGAATGCCAGAGAAAAGGCATAATGAAGGTCATTGCTGTGGATGGGATGCAGTTTGAGTGACACTCACGGGTGTATTTTGGTTAAATGGCTGGTCTCTGGGGTGGTACCATATTAGGAAGAGGGGCTAGTGGGAAGGTTTTCTTGTGCAGTTCTTTGGGGAGCTCTTGGGAAGTGGTTGTTCTGGAAGGAGCAAGCCTAGCCTGGCCACCCCTTTTCTCTCTGCTTCTAGTTTTTTGACACGTACGTGACTGTTTGCTCCCACATCCACTGTCACTACCATCTGCCCTTCTCTAGGAGTTCCTTGTCAGAACTGAACTGACAAAGGCACCATGACCTTGAATCCCCAGCACTGTGAACCAAATGAACCTCTTCTTAAGCTGAGTGTAGTGGTGCATGCCTGTAATCTCATCAGTCACAGGGTGGAGGCAGGAGGATCAGAAGTTTAAGGCCAGCCTGGTCTACAAAGTGGGAATCTGTTTCAAAACAAACAAACAATAAAACAACCAAGGCCGAGGGGACTGTTGAGGTGAGTCAGTGGGTAAAGGTGTGCCTCACTAAGCCTAATGACCTCGTTCAACCCCCAGCACCTCCATGGTGGAAGGAGAGAACTGACTCCCACAGAACAAAACTGGATACTCTATCTTGAGACTAACAGTCCCATAAAATGTAACATATCAACAAGAGTATCTCATATTCAAAACTTGGAGGATGGCTATTGTCAATTTTATCAAATCTAGAATCATCTAGGTCCTAGATTCTGGGAGACTCATCTCTGGGCATGTCTACAGTGGATGATCTAGATTAGGTTAATTGAGGTGTGAAGACCTGCCCACTGTGGGGGGCACCATTCCCTAGGATGGGATCCTGAACTATATGAAAAGGAGAAAGTGATCTGAATACATTCTCCACTCTGGTTTCTGACTGCAGCTGCAGTGTGACCAGTTGCCTTTAGCTCCTGCTGCCAAGAATTCCCCACCATAGCAAGCTGTACCCTTGAATTGTGAGCCAAAGTAACCCTTTCCCCATCAGGTTGTTTTTGCCAGGGTATTTTAGCAACAGGAAAAGTAACAGACACCTTTGGGGAAAGATCCAATCTTTCCAGATTAGATTCCGATTGTGTTTTCGGGGGGAAATTCAGGTCTACAGTTCTCTGTGGATCTAATTCAGCATCGGAGAAAGATTAGGCTTCAGCTCCACATAACAAAGAGGCGTTTGACTTCTGCCAAAGGTTTGGAAATGTGCGTTTATTTTCAAACTCAGCTCTGTGACATTCTACAGTTCAACACTAGCACACCTACCTGTGTGAGGCTTAACATTAGGGACTGACAGCCGGTGACATCAAGTCCAGGCTCTCCCTTGCCATTCCCTCATCCCAGGCTGTACAAAGGAAACAGACTTCGTGGTGGCTAGGAAGTGAAGGCCCTTTTAGGAATTGACATCAGTGATGATGCGAACATGTCCTTCTACAATAGAAGGCTGGCAACCAGACTCTCAGGGCTAAGCAGAACCGTAGGTTTCAGAGGCACCTTGAATGGTAACTTCGATTTCATTTGCCTGTTATGTCTGGAACCACAAGGCTGACTTCCATGGCACTGGCTGTGTGGCAGCGGCTGTGACCGCTACAAGTTATCCCTCGTTTTCCTGAAAAGGTGAACCAACAAGTGTGTTTTTAGCCGCGCTGCTCTAAACGTGGCTCCGCTCTTTGGAGATGTCCTTTTCCTCAACTGCCCTTCCAGTTGGAGCGGTGTGGTAGCTGGTCTAGGCCAAAGACTCCTGCAGGCTTCGGAGGCCAGGGATGACGCTGAAGCAGTTTACACATGCTCTCCTCAACTTTGTCTCACCCAGGGAGGGGTGGGGATTTGTGGCCAAATGGGCTCACTCAAGCTGGACCTTCTTTTGGTGTGGGGGTGGGGTGAGATTAGACATTGATCCGCTAGAGTCCGAACGGCTGCTCTTTCTGCATCCCGTCTACACCCTGTCTTTGGCTGTAAAGTGCTTATGTAGTTAAATCTCCTTTGGCTGTATCTAGTCCCATGGAAGACTCCAGGTGAGCCATCTACCTATGCTTGCAAAATCCCACTGCCTCGCTCTGAACCGCATTACCTTTAATGACACATCCTTGGGCACTTCACTATGCTGTTTTCTAGCCACTGTAAAGGATGTCCCTTCAAAACCAGCATTTTAAAGTGAGGCCTAGTCAGGGTGGGTTGGGGGTGGGGTGTCTCTCTAAAAGGAGTGATTGTATTTGAACTCGAGAATGGTTTCACTCGTGCTCTCTCAGGGTAAACAGAGAAAGATAAAAATAAGCCAAGGTCAGGAATCAGTCATGACAGGTTTCTCATGGAGATAGGAACGATCATGAGGGTGGCGGTTTTGGGAAGCCTCAAGAGGTCACGCTCTAGGCTGCCCTTCACCTTGACTGTTCGCTTGTTCTTTTAACCAAAGTTAAATGATTCTCTCCAAAGTGTTTGCCATGGTAGGTACCTGCCCAAGAGATGGTAAGACATCGTATTCGAGGGAAAATGTCCAGGGAGACAGATGTATAAATAAGGTAGACAGCAGGCACAGGGCAATGACTAAAGTTTAACAAGTGCCAGCAGCACTAAGTGGGGTGCCACCCATGATGCTGGGTGTGGCAGAACATGGAAGGAGGCCCTGGAAGCCTGTATAGAGGGTAGTGTTTGTGCTTGGTCCTCAGGAGTGGAGAGAAGAGAGCAAAGGCAGGGGAGATGCCCATGAGTTGAAGCACAGTGGGAGAAGCAATTTCATTTGAGAACCATGACAGGTTTGGGACAGCTGAAGGATCAGATGGGGAGGGGATCAGACCAGAAGGCACCTAGCTGGGAGACCATAGGAGAGGGGTCAGGGGGTACAGTCCCTGGAGCTAGACCACTCTAGTTTGAATGACTTACTTACTAGCTATATATGCTTGACAAGTTGTATCAGTGTGTGTGTGTGTGTGTGTGTGTGTGTGTGTGTGTGTGTGTGTGAGAGAGAGAGAGAGAGAGAGAGAGAGAGAGAGAGAGAGAGAGAGAGAGATATTTATGCTTCTGTTTCCTTATTTGAACATGGAGAGAGAGAGTACTATCCATTTCAGATTTTGTTTTTCTTGAGGACTAAATGAATTACTATCTATATAACACTGAGACAGTTTTGGACTCACAATAAGTCCTGCATGAGTGTTAGCAACAAAAACATTGAAACAGAAAAGCAAGCACGACAGAAGGCCCATCTCCAACTGATGAGAGCTGAGTGAAGGTAACAGCTGAACGGTGTGAGAGACGCCGTGCTGGAGGTGGGACGCACTCCTTCGGTTTGCTGCTGAACAGGTCCTCGGAAGGACACATTTGGGCGGGAAATAGGAGAATGGCAGCCTTGATGAGCAACGCAGAGTGAGAGTCTGGGGTGGAAGGCACACCTTTTCTTACCCACGGGGTGGGTTAATCACGTTCAAATGCAGCACACAGCCAGGGAAGAGACTGCCGAACAACAGCTCCAAACTGGCATCTGAAGACACGATTTCTTAGGGTTTTCAAACATCTTCAGAGTATGTGGAGGGCTCCCTGTATTGACGCCTGGTGACTACTGTTCCACACCTAGTGAAAAATAATTGATTGGCACAACATGGCTGCCACCAAGCAGAGCACACTTCCAGAGAGTGGGTGTGTGTGCACAAACATGTTGTGTGTTAGCTCTGTCCATATGTATAAAGACACGTTATATATTAACTCACGTCTTCCTGTTTCCCTTCAAGCATGGGACTACTTTTAGCCTGTGTACTTTTATGAGAGTGCTTTCCCACTCTCAGACAAGAAATGGTGATTCTGGAGGGGAGAGTGAAGGCTAAAGAACAGCCATGGTAAATGAAGTGGGAAGACATCCACATGTGACCCCAGGCCCCAGGTCCGATCCTTACGGTCAGTACTGGCCATTAAGTACAACTCTTCCTGGTTATGAAACACAGGGAGGAAAAGGGGGAGCAGGCTTCTCCCTGTCCCCTGAATGAAGGGGTTTCAGTTCTCCCAATCCATCTGAGCCAGGGGCAGGACTCTTCCCTCGGGCCAGAGTCCTCCGTGAAGGCCACTTCTTTGTCCACCAGACGCTTTCCCAGAGCAGTTTTGCTGATCCCTTCAAAGCATCAGGTTCCTGTGTGTGAGTAGCTTCCATGGAGGTGATGAGGGTGAAGAGAAAGCCTCCTTGTTCCCCAGTGGGATGGATGAGTGGCCACACGTGCACACCTGGGCCTGACACACTGTACTTGGGGGCAGGGTGTTGGGTGAATGCACCAGAGCAGGGCATGGCTAAGGACTCTGATGTCCTACTGCTCTGCTGGCTGCTCTTGCTGGAGTCCTGAGCTCCACCAGGAGTCCCGCTGGGCTGCGGAGCAGGTGGATCTCCCAGGGGGCCCATCGGCCTGCTCTGTGCAGGAGTTGTAGGAGCTGTAGAGCCCAAGCACAACACTCAAGACCAGCATTACTGCAGCCATCATCCAGATCACTTGCCAGTGTTGACACAATTTGGGATACATGACTTGTAGGAAGTGGACCAGTTCTTCAAGTTTGCTGTCAATAAAATAGGGATAGATTAGCATATTGAGCACATATCTGATGCCCAAAACCATACTTCCCTGTCTGGTGATATCTTCTACGCTAAGGCAGAGGTTCTCAAGCTCAACAATACAGAGAGTCACCTGGCAGATTGTATTTAAAATATCCCAGGCCTTCTGAATGAGAATCCCAGTTATGATGTAAGAATCCCTGGGTGATTTGGGTGCTACTGGTCCATATTATGGGAGGCTCATGTAGATGTTTGTCAACTTCATTATACCCATCCTCCACTTTGTCCCTCCTTTTCTTCCCCCACTCTCTCTAAACTCTGTTCTCTCTATCCCTCCCTCTTTGTCTCTCTCCTCTACTTTTACCACGTCCCCCCCCCTTGCATATTTTCCAGCTTCTTCTCAGCCCATCTTCTCTCTTTTCAGCTTAGTAAAAAGACATTTGATCAGAGTCCTATCCTAGAGGTTTCTGGAGATGTCCTGCACATTTTAAGCAAGCTATATTTTTCTCCTCTGTCTAATTCCAACTCTATGATTTGCAAAGCAAGATTACTGAGGGTTACCAGACCAAAGAGGCAGGGAGAGTGATGAGGGCTTCCTGTAGACCGCACAGCTCACAAAGACACTGTAGTGCTCAGGCTGGCTGCTCAGGAAGATGGAAGCTTGAACAGAGAGCTGGTGGGAAGTAGATGGGTTGCCATGGACCAAAATACTCGGCAAACGCCCTCCTAAGAAAGGGGCCAGGTCCTTGAAATGCTTGCCTTGGATGCCATGGCCATAGGGGACAACAGTTGGTCCCTTGTCCATGTGGGAACCCCATCAAGCAACTTCAGCTGTGCAAGTCATTACATGACTTGGAAGTAGACCAATTTCAGCCATGCAAGCCATTACATGACAGCTAAGTACATTTGCTTCTGAGAAAAGTCGTTGGCTATTTATGCAACTATTGGGAAGGGAGAGATTGGAAATACAAGCTTCCTTCCTTCTAGCCCTATTTATCTTTAGATCCTAGTGAGAGTCACTTTTTGAGCTAGTGTGTGTGTGTGTGTGTGTGTGCGTGCGTGCGTGCGTGTGTGTGTGTGTGTGTGTGTGTGTGCTCCAAAACAGGCTGCTGGTATGGGGAGAAGCCCCCTCCAAATCCAGTCTTACAGATTTACTTTTTAATTATGCATAGGGAGGGGCAAGCATGCTCACTAGAGTGCAGGTGTCTGTGGAGGCCAGAGGCATCAGATCCCCTAGAACTGGCTATACAGGGGGTTGTGAATTCAGGTCCTTTACAAGAGAAAATGTTCTCTTCATTGCCAAGCTGTCTTTCCAGCCCCTAAATCCATCCTCATTCTACAAAAGAGGTAGTCAAGATCTGGGACAAGATTCTTAAGTGGTCACCCAGTTTTTAGCCTAGAAGAGAAACTGGAAACAAAATTAAGCTAGAACTAGAATTCCTTTGGGTCAATTTTTGATGCTAAAGCTTCTGTTTTCAGAGCATTATTGGAAAAGTAAAGGCACCTGCTTAACATATCATTCAAGCTCACAGAGCAAGTCTGAATCAGTGGTGAGACAAAGGAGGCAGTTTTATGTCACATAGTGTGAGTCTCAGCTGTGTTACATAATAATGCCACAGACCACATTAAGAAGGTGTTGGGTTGCTTTGCTCAAAGTTCCTCCAGGGATCAATATTTATAACAGATTACTTTATTACATATAAGAGAGAAGAAACTTAGACACAAAGACTTAGAGTTTGATGTTGAAGCCTGTAAACAAGGGCCTAGCTGCTGGGCTTACCTAGTTCAATGTTTTTTATTTTTTTACTTATTTAACTTGTGTAAGTGCTTTGCCTGCAAACATGTATGTGTACCATGTGCATGCCTGGTTCCCATGAAGGTCAGAAGAAGGCATCAGATAACCTGGAAATGGAGTTAGGACATTTGTGAGCCATGATGTATATGTTGGGAACTAAATCCAGGTCCTCTGCAAGAGCAACAAGATCTCTAAACTACCAGGTCATCTCTCCAGTCCCAGGTCAGGTGTTGCAAATGGCCATTGCCCAGAATTGCTCACAGGATGAGCAGAAAAGGACCCAGGCAAACCTTGGTTCCCTGGGCTTTCATGAGACAGGAGGGAGCTGTCAACTGCCAGAGATCGAGTTAGCTAGATAAGGCCTGTGCTTTGTAAGCAAGACTGCTTATAGTTATGTGCTTGCTTTGTTTATTTCTCTTTTATTCTTCTGCAGTGTGTGGAAGTGTTGGAGATTCTAGACTGTCTTAGAAGAATTCAAGGTGCCAAAGGAGGGGCTTTTGTCCAGGCCTGGGCTTGACAAAGGCAGCCTGGTGGCTGCAAAATAAATGCAGATGACTCTCAAGAGGGAGGTGAGGTGTAAGGAGGACTCAGGCTGTGCTTCCGTGATTCAATTTGAGGCTCTTTGACCAGAGAGGGTGGTTTAACTGTCACAGGTTTGTTCCCCGGCACTCTAAGAAAGCGCTTCCCTGGACAGTGGGGTTGACTCAGGCGGGCTGAGCCTCTTCCTGCTGCTTGCATCTTCTACCACTGGGCTCTGTTGAGGGCATCTCCAGGCCCAGAAACACAGTTATCCTCTCTCCAATCTTCACTTACTACCTTATACGTGTGAGTAGGTTCTAGAGCTTGCCAACAGGAGGCTCAGATTACAGACACCGTGTCTGGGATCGGTGGCAGGTGATCATACCCTAATGGTTTTGTCCACAGAGGTTCTGGACCCCAGCATAGCCGAGGGTATCTAAAAGAAGATTTCAGTGAAGTGTTCCAAGATGGTTATAAGTATATTTAAAACAAAACAAAAATAAGACTTATGGTTTTGATGGACTAATAGAGATAGCTGGGCAGAATAAATGAAATTGGGGCTTTTCTGGAAATTTGGGTGTTGATCTGGTCCTTATACTGATAAAGGAATGCATGCCTCTTCTTAGGAACAGTTCATTCTGTCCTTAAACATATTCCTATGGGGGCAGTCCTGGCCTATCGGGTTGTGACCTCATTACATGGATACCCTGCAACTAGACAAGGTTATTTCTCTTGTTCTTGGTCTGGGGATGTATCTCAGTAGAAGAGTGCTTGCCTGCCATTTGCAAGGTCCTGGGTTCAATCCCAAGCGCCAGTTCTGTTTTGTTTTAATTTACTGTTCTATGTGGTAAAGTGAGATCTACACCTGTTGGAGCAAGTCACAGGATACAGACTTTCTCTGTGTCCATCTCCTCTTCCCCTCATTAGAAGAAGATACCCTGCAACAGAAAATACTGTGTTTCCAACCTAAGTGAAGACAATGCACACATGGGCAAGTGTTTGGTTAGTACAGCAGGGCCTGCTAGAGACTGAACTGAGCTGAATATGTTCCCTGCCTCACGTGCCCCTCTGCTTCCTTCTACTCTTCCGGTTTTTGTCCAAAACCCCCTCTAGGAATTCAGGCCTGCTCCTTTGATCTGGACTCTTCTATGGTGGTGGCTGTGGAATGGGCTGACTGTAGCTTGGCTGAGAGTCCTCTGGGGGGGGGGGTTCCCTCTCCCTTTCTCACCCCCTAACAGCTATTAATGGCTTTCTGCCCTGCCCATGACCACCTCTGACCCCTCAGCTCTTGCAAGTGTGCCATTTCTAACTTAATTTTCTCTCTTGTCTGGAGTCAGTGCCTTCTTGAGTTCTGTTGGCCGACAACTGGGGCCCCAGACCTACTGCCACCCAGGAAAGGCGTTTCCATCCGTCTGGTGCAATTCAACAGTTAAATGACTTGCGACCCATTCGGGATCCAAGTGTAGGCTTCCAACCTGCTTCTCTGGTCCTTCTCTTCCTCCTCAGTTCCTTCTACCTCCGCTGGTTCCTCGGGACTCTCCGTCTTCCGTTCTTCCTCCTCCTCCTTCAGGTCTTGAAGTTCTTCGGTCTTCTTTAGCCCTTCCTGGTATCTGGAGGGCAAAAAGGAACAACTGAGTCTGGGAGGGCGGCACCCAGGGCATTCTTGCCTGCGGCCCAGGGGGAGGGGACTCAAGAGCCTCCAGTCACTTCACACTTCCTGTGGCTCCATGCAACAGGAAAAAGCTGGAAAGCTCTGCTAAACCCCAACACAACTCATGTCAATGCCATTTCCCCTCCCTCCTCAGCCATCCTTCCTGTTTGTGTGACAGTGTGACAAACTGATGGGAAAAAATGTGGGACAAGATCTACCGCTGGTTGTTATCCTACAGAACATTCCCCGGAGATAAGACTGCATTTCCCCTGTGGAACCCAGGAGCTTCAACTTCAGAGGGACCCTCATCTCAGGCTGCTGGGGTGTTTCTCAGAATTATCAGGGCTTAACATAGGGAGGTACCCAGAAAATATTCCCAAAACCAATGGAGGAACTTTGCTCTCAGGTTTTCAGAGGCGAACCTTCCTTAAGAGCCCCCCATGATTCCTCTTGGGATCAGTATTTCCCTGAGCGTATCTGCTCACTCATCCGACGGTCAGGTGTCTAACTTCATTAGTGTGGCTGGGACGACCCCACCCACCACTGAGTGACTGCCACACAGATACCATGGGGTTCTGTGCCCATGGTAAGCTGAACCTCCCTCAGGAGCCACGGGGCACCACGCTAGGCTACAGGTGAGTTTCTGTCTTGAGTCGTGGGCCTTTGACCCTGCTCAGTGCTGAGTAGCTGATAGCTGGCCCCGGTTGCTAATGTAGCTCGCTTGGTTAGAGACAGGCCAGGGTGGAAATGGTGGGGCAAGGGCAGGAGGGAGGAGCTCCAAGTTACAGGGAACAGCAGGGTCATTCCAGGAAGCACAGCTGAAGGTGCCCTGGGCACTGTTGGCAGCAACCTGACAGCTCCGCACACGTGCCAGGAAGCCTCAGGCGGCACCAAGAGGAACCTAGCCCAGGCCCCTGGTGTTTAGGCCTTTCTAGGCAGTGGCATCATGGCTGAAAAAGAGAGGAGTCTAGTTGAAGCTAGCCACTGTCTAAACACACCCTGTGTCCTGATTCTCTATGTAGGCCTTTCTTGACTGAAAGAGGCTTTGGGCCCGTTGATTGCTTCCCGAAAACTCCTCCGAAGCGAGCCAGGGTGTGGGAAGTTCCCTTCTGAGACTTACCAGGTGCCCTTGGGGTGGTGAGGTCTGACTCACCCTTTGGTGTAGGCTTCTTCCTCTGCCCTGGCCTTGGTCTCCTGGCTCGTGTCCTCCAGGCAGCTTGGGAGCGGCCCAGGGGCACCAGCTTCACAGTCAGCCTCCGCATTTGTCTTTCCACTAGAGAGAGGAGGGAAGTACAGGGCGGTCATTGCAGGGAGAGACTGAACATCTGCAGACAAAACCGTATCTTTGGCCTGCTTCCTGATTCAAAGAGGAAACTCAGGCTCTTTCACTGGCTTTCAGGTTTTAAAATGTCTACCTTGAGATTGGGTTATATAAAGACCAGCTCCGTGAATCTTCCCCAGACCACTGAGGAGGCAGATACTACAACAGCTCCCTTAGCCTGATGCTCCCAAAGCCAACTTCATTCTCATTTCAGGAGGTGCTGTGAGTGGACAGGCAAGTGTCACAGACAACGGAGCACTGCCACGAGGAGGCAGAGGTATTCTCTTGATGTAAGAATATAAAGAGTGGATGATGGCCTAAAAAGAGAACATGGAAACGAGGAGCAGAGATCTCAGGATCAGTTATCTTCAAGCTCATATCAGGAGGAGGGGAGGAGGAGGAGGAGGAGGAGGAGGAGGAGGAGGAGGAGGAGGAGGAGAAAAAGACGGAGAAATGGCTGCTAGATCGGTAGGTACAAGCTGGAAGGGGGTGGAGCCTTGGGAGTCAGGGAGAGAGAGTTGACTGTGTTCTACTGCATCTTCTGAAAGTCTGCGTCCCTGGTGGGGTTTGATGACGCAAGGATCCCTTGGAGCCTTGAGGTAATGATGAGTGAGCTTAATAAGGAACAGGAAGTGAGAAAGGTACAGCCACAGTTGGGCTAGGAAGGGGAGTGGGGAGCACATTGGCAGGACTGCTCAGTGGAATACATGGGTCGAGGAATGCAAGCATATTCAAACACAGGCAGAGAGGGCCCGGCGGCGGAGGGGATGGGAGAAGATGGCCAAAGCGACAGTATCTTTGATGAAAGGAACCAAGACCTTTAAAAAGTAAGACAAACCTCTCCTTAACTGGACAAAGAGGAGAAGAGGAGGACAGTAGGGTGGGGTCCTGACAAAGATGAGCTGCCTCCTATCCAAATGGTAAAGCTGAAGTGCCCTTCTCTGTTTTTTTTGTTTGTTTGTTTATTTGTTTGTTTGGTTTTTCGAGACAGGGTTTCTCTGTGTAATTTTGGTGCCTGTCCTGGATCTCGCTCTGTAGACCAGGCTGGCCTCGAACTCACAGAGATCTGCCTGGCTCTGCCTCTCGAGTGCTGGGATTAAAGGCGTGCACCACTACTGCCCGGCTTGAAATGCCCTTGTTAAGAATAAGGCCCAGTCTTCTGCAGAGAGTGAGAGTAGATGGTCTGAGAGGGCTGAGAAACAGCAGGAAGTACAAGCATCATGTGGAAAAGTAGGAAAATAGGCACACTAGTGAATCACCTCAGGATGGCTGGGCGTGCTTGGAGCCTGTCTAACATATGAGTGGGACCACAAGTTCAAAGGAAGCAACCTAATAACCTAATTAAGATGGATTCTGTAGCCATCTTGGTGCCCCTAATCCAACTAGAAGTGATGGCATCATGGGGGAGCCCAGAAACAAGAGCACGTTGTAAGCTGAACCTTCTAGTAGAAAGCTAAGGGGTCGCCACTGCTTTTCCTTAGGCAGGGTCCAAACCTTCAGCTTGCTCCCTACTCTTGGCACCAATTTCTTATCTCTTAGCTTTCCCCCAGACCTTGAAAATATATGTTTCATTAGGCTAGAACCCAAACCCCATTGTGAACAAGAAAGATAAGGCTCTAAAAATACTAGCTATTCATAACATTTCTCCTCCTGCAAATTATGCTCTCCACTCCCTTCCCTGTGACCTTAACCTAATGTGCAGCTTCCTATTTGTCCAATGACAAAGACGAGGAAAAACCCACCTAGAGTCCAGGGTGGGGGCAGCCATTATCTCGTGCAGTATAATTATACATTTGAAGTGAAATACAGTCACCACACTTTTAGTTTCTTTTCTCTATAGCTGCCCACATTAGAGGGTCCTTAAAGAAACATGAAGAGAATGTGCCTGAGACAGACCTGGTTCAAACCCTAGCACCCCAGGCTCAGAGACCTTAAATACCAGCCTAACGCTATGCAATCTTGAAACCCCCTTGCCTGGCAGGACTGAGGACATTCTAATAAAAAAGACACCTGTGGTCTCCCCTTGGCTATCAGACTATCAGAACCATGTAACCCAAGAAATTGAAATCCCCTCAGGAATCTCATGCTGGTAGACACCTAGGCTAGCCAGAGGGGAAATTGTCTCCCCAAAAAAAGACTTGCGACTTGCCAGACCACCTTGCAGGACAGACTGGAGCTGAGACTGTGGTGGGTCAATGATGGGAGGGACCATAACTTGACCAGACTGTCTAGTTATGCTTATCTCTGGCCCTCTACTTAAACCCAAACCTCCTGTCAGGACTGAAGATGTATTGGGCAAAAGGTCACTGGGTCTGTTTTCCTTCCCAAAATAACAGTATTGAATAAATCCATTTTCTGCTTTCTACTATTAATTCGGCCCTTTTAATTGGCTGATTGGGCTATGACCTTAACTCCAGTAACAATCAGTGTGTGGGAGGGCTCAAATTTGGCTCTGTTGCAGGTTGATGCTGACCCATGCTTTAACTGTGCTAGCTACTGTCCTTGGGAGGCATTTCACCTTGGCCAGTAGCTTCATGGCAAGATGAGCTGTCTTCCTTGGTCCCTCCTTCATTTCTCTTCTGGGGCTCTGACTGGTGTGTAAGGTCCAAGGTGAACAGCCCAGCCGCCATCAGTGATGTGAATGTGGGCCAGTAGCAAGCGTATGTTTCTTCCCGAGAACCTAGAATTTGACTGTATTCATCTCTGTAACAAGAGCTGGGCACAATCTGTGCCCATCCCAGGAATCACTGGGTGGACTGTGGCATCCATCCTCAGTCTGGAATCTGTGCCTTCTTTCTGGGTGAGTCATTAAACTATGGCTGTGTTTATCATTGTGCTCAGCTTGGTCACATGAGGTCTGTTTGTTCAAAGTAAACTGCTGGCCAAGCTGCTTATCAGTTTGTTGGTGAGCAGTATTTAAAAGTGACTTCAAGCCTTTCCAAAGGGCAGATCTTGCCTCTTGGACTCAGCAATGTTGCTAAATCATCCCCATTCAGGGGCTTCTTTTGATAAGCCCACCCCAGAGGACCTGAGCCATGGGACCTTCTTTACCCCCTTGTACCCAGTCCCGGAATCTTGGGTAATAAATGCCCTGGGATATAATTTTCCCCAGAATACAATCAATAAGGGGATAGATTGTTTGCTGTGACAATTTAATGACCCTGGCTACTTCAAAAGCATAGAAGACAGAGATTTTCAAGACAATAGCTAACGCTGCACTGTGACACACCAGCATTGTGGCCTGTTCATAAAAATAATCCACTGACACTCTCCCACATCCCAGCGTCGTTGACCCCTTTGTGAGGTTCTGCACACACTCTCTCATAGCCTGCTCTGTCTTACTCTCCATGCCCATCCAATCACCGGGTTCTCCCCCAAAGAGTTCTCCTTTTCTCTGTGGTCCCTCTGAATGTCCCCTATTCTTCCATTAGGAGGTTAAGAGCATGAGCCAGGCCAGCTTCTAGCTGTGTAAGCTCAGGGAGCATATCTCTGGGCATCATCTTCCTCATCAATAAGACAGAGACGTTAATAATGTATCCACCTCATGAGATCCTTGGCAGAGTTAATAAGGAATGGACAGCAATTAGGAGGAAAGGCACCTGGCATACAAGGAATGAGTTTTAACTAAGAACAGGAATTGTCACCACGACAACCACAGCCATCATCTTTCTTTGAATTCACCACTACCATGGAATGCTGTTAACCTCCTGTTTACCTAGTTGGTGATAAAACCTTTAGGCTTAACTTTAAAAGCAGATTCCTAAGTGGAAACATTTTCTGAGCCCCACCCCATCTTACACCCACACAGGGTTAGGGGTACATTTTCTCATGTGTTGGTCCCTTAGCAACGTGCACTTCCTTATGACAACATTCATCACACTGTGGAAAAATAGCCTGCTTCCTGTCTGGCTTTCCAACTAAACTAGCACTCCTTGAGAGCGCTCCATGAGGCTGACCCTGAGAACACTTGTCAAAAGAACGAAAGAATAAAAGACCATGGACATACAGGATAACTAAAAACCATTCTCTAGCCATATGTTTAAATCTATACATTTCTAGACCTTTGTTGAGTTGAAGAGTGGTTTGTTATGATATGGCCTATAAGAGCAAGACTCGGAGCACTCTAAGCTCCAACTGGACAGACGGTATAGTCAGCTGCTCTGTACTATGGACTGGCCACAGTCTACTTGATCATACTATCACACGCCTAGCCAGTTCCCTTCCTTATATGGAACACTTAGGAAATGGGGAATCAGTTAACATGAAGCTCAATGCAACAACGAATGTCTGATAAATTGTAACACATTACTTCTCTTCAACAATGTGAACTAGGCTAACTGGAATTGGAACAGCTATACATAAGTAGAGAGGACATGAATTCATTTTCACTTGTAAATTGTTTCACTATTGGTCACTTGGGGATCTATGATGCTTTCGGGTCTGTGCATCTGGAGGAAAAAATCAGTTAACATCTTCTGTAAGTCCACAGGGAAGAGCTGCTGTTGTTGGCAGGCTCCAGAGTCTCTCCTAGCTTTAGATCTCCTTCCCCTCTTTGCAGTCATTTTTATTTGGATATATTTCCAGAAGGTCAGTCAGCCACAGCGTACACATGGTCAATGACAATTTCTAGCTAGCCCAGGAGGAAGCTACAAACTCATCCTGGGGACCTCTGGCTTGACTCTGTGACTCACTTTGTCCTTTTAGCTCCTGATTTTAAACCTGTGAAGGGTGTCACCATCCAGGATCCTCACATATTGATACAGCAGATCTGGGACTGTCCATCAGATTCTCTTACAGAGGACATCTCGAGTTCTTAATGGTCTCCAAAGTCTTGGACATGAGCTCTCAGCTGGCCTGAATATTAGTTCTGAATAAGAGTCCACCAAGGAGAGCAGGGACCTAGATCTTCTGCCTTGGCTGGGTCTGTAGGCCTAGAGCTAAGGAGAGGCCTTTAATGGCAGTGCTCTGAAATGGACTGCGTGAGCCCAAAGTGAAGGCTGACAGAACTTCAGAGAGTATAAGTGGTCGTTTCTAGGGAGATTCAGAGGCTGTGAATTAGGCATCGTGGCTCTAGGTGGTAAGATACTTTGTAGGCTAGATACTTGTGTTTGGTGACTAATTTGTGGTCTCTTGACAGTTTTCCTGGAGTGATCAAGAAGGGAGAGGAAGGAAGAGGATGCACTCTGTGATGAAAAGGACAGACATGCTAGTAAGTGACCAAGGGGGTAAATACCAGGCAAATACTGACAGTAACCAGCGGGCTCTTGAGTGGGAACTTGGCAATGACATACACCCGGAGTCTGGAGGTAGGGAGCTCGGGAGCCTCTCTGAACTGACAGGGGCCCAGCAGTCACACTCCTGCCAGATGTCACAAAGCCTACAAACAGCAACAGAATGAGCAGGACTAAAGCTGCTGCAAGGCAAAGAGAGAGAAGTGAGGTCTGCACTCCACCAGCTGAGGAAATACACAAGGAGAAAGTCCTGAGAGCTGGCAGCTGTGATCCAGATGTTTTCCAACAGGCAAATGAAAAAAGTTCAAAAAGTAAGCTATAACTACCCCACCCCCACCCCCACAGTGCAGAAGAATGACCTTAGTGCTCTGGCTTAGCATGAGAAGATGCAAATGATTGTATGGGTGCCTGGGAAAGCCAGGCCCAGGAGGCCCTCTCAAGCTCTCAAGCCAATATGTATCTTCCCACTTCTTCACAGAAAGAAGATGTTTTAAAAAAAGGAATTTACCCTTCCCAAAGTCATCGTGTTTCGGGGACCCTCTCCCCCTCTCCTGGATAGTTTAAACCCATATAATGATTCTATCCCCAAATGGAAGGAACATATTCATCTTCCTTTAGATATAGTCCTGCCTAGGGTTCTGGGACGAGCAGCCACTTGCTACAAGCCTGACAATGGCATCAACATGAAGTGGCCAGAGTGACTGGTTCGTGAAGGAACCACAGAGAGATGGAATCCTGCCACAACGGAGCAGCCTACCCTGGGCTTGTTGTCTAAGCCCCATTGAATTAGAGTTTGTTTGTGTCCATAGCTCCAGAGAACCCCAACTAACGAGGAGGCTTGCTACCTCTTGGAGGGTCTTAGGAAGGGTGTACTTGGTCTCAGCCACAGTATCGTCCTGGTCCAAGAGTTTTACAAAGCAAGATCTGAAATCTTTGTGTGTCTCAGAGTCCTATTCATTTCCCCTAGAACCTGATTTTCTTTCTATTTCATTTTTGGTTTGGGGATGAGAGTAAAGAAAGCAAGTTGGGGACTTTCTCTAAGGATCCCCAATATTAAGTGGAAAATAGAGACACTTACTTTTCCAAAAGTGCAGGCAGCACCGGGGGGACGGATATGTTGCTTTTTCCGTTGGGTGATTCAGACTGGATGGAAAAGAGGAGCCAGAACTGAGGGTGAGTGATGAAGGAGGTAGCCAGGGCTGCCGGGCCTCAGGTAATGCTGCGGAGGGCTGCTGCTGACCCTTCTCTCTCCATCCTTCTCCCCCCACTGCTTTCCAGTCTACCTTCTAAAGCTCCATCCTAGCAGGGAGCCTCAGGGTTCCTGTCCCACTTCCTGAGGACCAGCAGGCCTCCTACCAAATGTGGGTCTAGAAGTCCTTGGGATGGACATAAGCACCACTGTTCCCGCAGGTGCTGCTCCAAGTACAAAGGTCAGGAGGAGATGCCGATGTCACAACATACACAAGCTGGCAGACATTTCTGGACAGTTTACCTGGGAGCCCGGGCTGCTCCACCACAGCAGTCATGGTTAAAGCATACGCTTTCAGCTCTGCGCCCACACTAGGATCACCTGGAGTCCGGTAAATAGGACTGAACCATTCCAGAGTTTTGGGGTGGGACCCATGATCAGGATGTTTTCAGTGCAGCTTTTGTGATTTTAAAGGCTAGTTCTTGTTGTCAACCACTTGTCTAAAGTTATACATTTGGAAACCATAGATCTAGTAAAAAGGTTTGTTGCTAACTGACCTTTTCTAGTCTCATAAAAAACTTCAGTTTTTAAAATTTTTATTTTATGTGCATGCATGTTTGCCTGAATGTATGTCTGCACCATAAACTTGCAATGCACGTGGAGGCTATAACAGGGTGCTGGATATCCTAGGCCTGGAGTTACAGGTGGTTGTGAGCTACTATGTGGGTGCTGGGAATTGAACATGGGTCCTTTGAAAGAGCAGCCAGTGCTCTAAGGTGCTGAGCCATCTCTCCAGGCCCTTCAGGTTTCTTTGTTTCAGTGATTTGGAGTTTGAGTTCATTTCACAGACAAAATACTGACAAGGTAAAAGAAACGTAACAGTGATCACTAGCTATGGGTATGGTGGAACTTGAAGTGACTTGACCAGTTTCTGGCACACTGAACCTCTCTCTGTACAGCTGTGCTAGTGTGCACGATGATTAGAAAAACCACTGGAAAAAGGTGTTCAAAAGTTTTAGAAAAAAAGTCATCAAATCCACAAAGACTATAGGTATAGAAAAGATTTTCTTTTTTTTTTTTCAACATCTTCTGCATATGTTTTTTTTTTTATTAAAAGATTTTCTTATATATAGAAATTGCCTTCATCTGGAATGAAATGGACATTTTTCTCTGCCTTTCTTTGTATACCCTATAGAAATATTAAAAAATAAAGAAGAAAATTAAAGTGATCTGTTTTATCATTGTCCAGAAATAACCATTATTGCGATGGGTAGTTTTTAATTATCAATTTGTCATAGCCTAGAGTCTCCTGAGAAGCCAGCCTCAATTGAGGGATTGTCTAGAAGAGATTGGCCTGTGGTCATGCCTATGGGGGATTGCCAACTAAGGCAGGAAGGCCCAGGCCATCGTGGGAGCAGGAAGACCCAACTCTGGTCTGTGGATGTGACGGCTGAGTTCCTGCCTTGATATACCCCCAATGATGGACTATAACCTGGAATTGTAAGCCAAATAAACCCTTTCTTCCCAATTTCTTTTTGTCGGGATATTTTATCACAACAGAAATTAACCTAAAACAATTATTCAATTCCAAATATTTCTTCCATAATTTTCTATGTCTACACAGAGACACCATTTTTAAAAGTACAAAACAGGAAGCTGGAGAGATGGTTCAGCAGTTAAGAGCACTGGCTGTCCTTCCAGAGGACCTGGGTTCAACTCCTAGTACCTATATGGCAGCTCACAACTGTCTGTAACTCCAGTTCCAGGGATCTGAAACCTTCAGACAGATACACATGCAGGCAAAACACCAGTGCACATAAAATGAAAATCAATTATATCTTTTATAAAAGTACAAAACAGAATTATATTACACATACTCCAATATATGTGTTTATTGTACATAGAAACTGCTATTTCTTCACAATACATCATGGGTGATAGTCCCACAGAGATTCTTTATGATGGTGTCCACAGTTGGCTTGCCAATCTCCTACTGATAAGCACTGAGTTACCCTCGGGGCTTCATCACTGCAAACAAGGCAGCAATGGGTAACCCAGGATGAGGCCCTGTTCACAAACTCGGGCTCTGCGGCCAGAGCCTTGCTTTAGACACAACTGACACAACCCACTGTACCCTGCAAAGTTTGTTTGTTTGCTTGATTGTTTGTTTTAAGCATCCTCTCCTTAAAGAATTTCTGTTCAAAGGGGCGGCTGTTTTTGAGGTACACCTCCTGAGCCGCCTGTGCTTTGAGAGCACAGAGAACGAGTCTCGGAACAGTGGGATGGTGACATTGGCTTGCTTTGTGTACCTCCATCCATAGTCCCTGCTGGAAACTTCCTGTCCCTCTTGACCCGTCCCCATCTGCATCCTCTCTGCAGCAGTGGTGTGAAATGTAGAAAAGGACAGAAGGCAGGCGACATCATACTCACCAGAGCTGGTAGGGAGGGGATGGGTGATGCGCTGGGGGTTTGGCCAGGAAGGTTCAGGGCGTTAAACTTGGGAACCACAGCAACACTGACCCTCCGGCGGGGCATGTTCTATGGGAAGAGAAGTGATTCAGGCCTCCTGTCTCGGGAATAACAACAGTCATAGTTCTGAGGGTATTAGAAAAGCTTGCTAGCCTCTAACATTCAGTAGTAATTTGTTTTGGGGTGGTGGTTAGGTTAGGAATCAGTGGGGAAAGAGTGAACCAAAGTTGACCCAAATTTCTGTTGAGTCATGAGTAATCTCTCAACACATCTCCATTTTACGTTTTGAGACCCCGTTCTCTGAATAGCAACCTGGAGAGTGTGTAAAAACTGCCCATGGCAAAGCCAAGGTGTCTGCATCATTTCACGTTCACTTAATGCAGAGTTGGGAAGACTACACCTAAACAAGAAAAATGGCGTGTCAGAGGCCATGTGAGCAAGTGTGAAGCTGAATACCCTGCTGGTACCCGTAGGTCCGAGAGTGAGTGATCACTTGAGTGACCATGAAAACTTCTATCATGCTTCCTCTGGGAACCCTGGGACTCCTTGACCATGCATACCTTGCCCATCGTGAGGGACATAGATCGCGCCGTGCGGGGGACCCCATCTTCTGTTGTAGGAAAAAAACAGAAGAAAATGGGTGAGTTTCAGGTTGGGGTCCAACAACACACAGACAGGCAGACATTAAACCATTGCTGGGCCATAGCTGGCTTTGCAGGAATGAGTTCTGGGCCTTAGGGACCCTTCACTGTTTGATGTTTCACCCTGTAAGAAAATCATCTGCTGCCAAGGGACCCTCTTGACAAAACGTTTATTCTAACTCCACCAGACACTACCAGGAGCCCCAGTCATGGGCTTCTGGGCTTCATTTGACACCACTGTAGTCTCTGGGGTCACCCAGGATGGTGTGTGAACAGGACTCAGCAAGCTTGAAGCATATGGACCCATTCCATGTTCTCTCTAAGGATGGACTGTTGGAAACACTATAAGCAAGAAAGATTTGATGTTAAGGATGAAAATTTGCTACCTGAAGTCCTTTCAATGTATTACCTATGCTATGACTCAGCACAAAGGGAGCTACCACTGAAGACCTTTTCCTCCTTAGCATGCATACTAAATGATACACTTTATATTCAGTGTTCAACAGCGTACTTGCTTAAGAGTGCTGCCAGAAAACAACTGGATACATGAAAAATGTTTTTATTTTTCAAAATTGTAAATTTTGTTCTCTTGAATATGTTTCCAAGTTCGATTTGCCCAGAAATGATCAGAAAAGTATCTTCAAGGTCAGTTGAGTCTGATTCAGTCTCCCCACATCCTGGAGTCCATACGTCTCTCTGTCCTCCATAGCCCATAGTTTATGTATGGCCCTTGGAAACCACAAAGCTGTATGCTTTGTTTTGTGTTTTCTTAATCTGAGGATCTTTGCCAACCAACAGCTTTACAGTGTCTATAATTCTTGTGAGTGTTAACATATTTGTGTTTATTTCTACCATCTCATTATCTATATTTTATTTACCTTGATTTATTCTTTGATTCTTTTTTCTAAGTTTTTCCCCACTCTAAACAGAGTTGAGGAATTATCCATTCTAGTTCTACCTTTGGGACTTGGCTTTAATTTCTGATATTATTTGGCTTTAAATTTAAAATTAATCAAGATCCTCAGGCTTTTCCTAAATAGAGCTCAAAACAACAACTCTCTCCAACCTTAATTAGAGTGCTAGTCACCATTTTTATGTCACACTGTGTATCCCCAAGTTATGTATTATTCATCTAATTAGCGATTACCGGATGCTTATTTGGCTCCGTCCACGTGCTTATGAACATTCTTGATCACCAGCCTTTCTTGCATCTTGCATCTGATTGGGCTCCATCCCACCCCCAAGCCCAGTACATTCTTTAATTGTCCTTTCAGCAAGGACCTGTGAAGGACCACTTTCTTATTACAGCCTTCCCTAGCCCTGGGCCTTGCATGACCACCCACTTAGTTCTCCTGGGTTCTCTGAGGGTAGACCACTGCCTTCTAGTGATATTGTAGCTCTGGAGAATTGTCGTCTACTTGCAAATTCTCTTCTCATTGCTTTTAAGATTTTTACTTATCTTTTTCTTTTCTATTTGTGCGTGTGTGTGTGTGTGTGTGTGTGTGTGTGTGAGAGAGAGAGAGAGAGAGAGAGAGAGAGAGAGAGAGAGAGAGAGAGAATACATGTGCACCACATTACGCTCATACACACCAGGGGTCAACATTGGACATATTTTTCTTTTCTTTTCTTTTTTTTTTTTTTTTTTGGTTTTTCGAGACAGGGTTTCTCTGTGTAGCTTTGCGCCTTTCCTGGAACTCACTCTGTAGTCCAGGCTGGCCTCAAACTCACAGAGAACCACCTGTCTCTGCCTCCCGAGTGCTGGGATTAAAGGCGTGCACTACCACTGTCCGGCTTGGACATCTTTTTCTATCTCTGTCAACCTTATTTTTTTTTTAAGGTAAGATTTCTCACTGAAGCTGGATCTTGCTGTTTCAGCTAGATTGGCTGGCCAGAGAGGTCCGGGGATTTGCCGCTCTCCAATTCCTCAGGACTGGAGTTACAGGTGTGCACCACATACTTGAGGGGTGCTGGGGGTTCCAACTCGGGTCCTCATGCTTTACTCACCGGGCCATCTCCCCACTCCTTATTTTATCCTTTTTGACATTTCCATTTCATGTGTATTTATTTTTTCCATAGACTTCACTATACTACCGAATCCAGTGATTTGTGTCTTTCTTAACTGTGGAAGATGCTAGGTTATTTCCCTGAAGATTTTTCTGTGCCTAATTTCCCCCTTAGGGACCACCTGGCTCTGGACTGTAGGCTCTCCTCCGTACCCCATGTCCCCAAAACCTTCTTTCATGTTTTAATCACTGTATCCATTTCAACTGCATCTTGGATAACTATCTCAAGTCTCGCAGTCAAGATGAACAGGTTAATATTCTGGGAGACTGACATTCATCAGGGTGGGAGGAAGAAAGCCAGAGCCACGTGCACACCAGTTCTTACAGGGTTCAGGCCAGATGTGACTTGGCTCACCCACAAAGCCCTCCACAAGGCCGAGTCTATCTTCTAGGGGATGAGAAATAAGTCAGGGGGAGGAGCTCAGAAGACTGAGAGACCCCCTCTACCATGGCTACCACACCCCCCACACCTACCAAGTCTCTGCATCCCTGACTTCCCATTTTTGAGGAGTTCTAATTTTTTTTTTTTTTTTTTTTTTTTTTTTTTGGTTTTTCGAGACAGGGTTTCTCTGTGTAGCTTTGTGCCTTTCCTGGGACTCACTTGGTAGTCCAGGCTGGCCTCGAACTCACAGCGATCCGCCTGGCTCTGCCTCCCGAGTGCTGGGATTAAAGGCGTACGCCACCACCGCCCGACCTCTAATTTTTTTTTTTTATAACTACTATTTGATCTTGTGTTTTCAATCTGCTTTTCCATGTCTCTGCTGATTTTAAAATCCTGATTACTTTACTATTTGATGTTCTTGGGGTGGGATCTTACATTTGGTGGGTCTAAATTTGTGTTCCCAGTGGCCTGTTTCACTGTGTGTTTGACACTGTGCACGTGTCCTGGGGCAGGGTGTGCCTCTCTGCGGCGGCTGACATATTCCTGGAGCCGCCGCCATCCCGCTGTCCTTTCAGAGTCTCCACAGCTTGCAGAGCTGCTGCAGCCACTCACGCACTTCCTGTGACGAAGGAGGGAATATTCTGTGTCCACCCAGGGTGCAGGGCGAAACGGGCAAGCTTCCGTGTTTGCTTCTCTGCTGGCTGGTGGGTGAGCATTCTTATTCCTTGTATAGATTCTACCTCCAGGCAGTCCCTAGAAGGTCTTGGCTTTCCACGTGAAGCAGAGTCGGCTCTGCCACGGGGCTCCGAGGCTGCTCTCAGATAGTCCTGACGGCAAACACTTGGTTCCAGAGAGGCAGGGCGGCTCTGGCCCCAGCACGCCTCAGGGTCAGCATGGTTTCAGTTCTCCTCTTGTTTCTGGCTATTTCTATTTCCTTTCTTGTGGACTCAGCTGTTCTTTTAGACGACTTGTTTTATTTTGTCCAGCAGGAAGTTGTAAGCATTTCGGTTAAAGGATTTTTTTTTAAGTTTTCTGGTCACCCCAAAGAGCAGAACCAGAAAACATTCTCTAATAAGTGGGAGTTCAAATACGTGAATAAAATTCCAATCTTGCGGGTGGGATGATTGGAGAATTTACAATAGATTGTATAAACGTATAGAAGTATAAATAAATGCCTAACAAACGCATGGAAAAGCATCAAACTATGAATTAAAACTATGAGATAAAACAACTTCTGTCTATAAAATCATAAATATGTTTCAGAAGAAAGAACCAGTTTGGTGATCGTTATACAATGAATCAAGCATTATAGTACCCCATTAAGTGACTATGTCAATGGATTACTTGAAAGTAATTTAAGTAATTTATAAACATTTCTTTTCCCTAACATAGTAATGTTTTATTTTCATTAGCTTTTTAGTTAGCAAACAAAAGAATATGGCATTTTCACACATGCATGTCATTGCACTGGGCTCATATCTGCCCACCCCACTGCCTTCCCTGTCCTTTGCCCACTGGGCCCCTTCCTCTCTTCAAATAGCCCCCCTCATTCAGCTAGTATTTATATTTCTAGAAGTCTGTCCAAAAAAAAAATCCAAAATGCTGATAATCAGCATGCTGCATGTTCAAAAAAATTTTTTTTGAGACAGGATTTCTTTGGTAGCCTTGGCTGTCCTAAAACTCACTCTGTAGACCAGGCTAGTCTCAAACTCATAGAGATCTGCCTGCCTCTGCCTCCTGAGTGCTGGGATTAAAGACGTGCAACACCACCACCTGGCTCCAAAAAAAAAAAAATTTTTTTTTTGAGCAACTTACTTTTTAATCAGGGGATATTTTATTTCATTATAGTCTTCACAGCCTCAGCCATAGACAGAAGGCATGTAAAGGCTTTTTAGAAGCATGCTATTAGAGAGTGGCCATGGCACATCACAGAGACATAACCTGCTGACACACAGATTCACTGGTGCTGGACTCTCCGAAGCAGCCACAGGGGTGTAGAGCTTGGAAAAACAATCGAAGGGGCACCACGTGTCCCCAACCGTGATTCTTTAGTTAAGGCTTGCTCTTGAGTCCTTTCCTTTTGCTAGCATTTTCTCAGGTCCCCCCACCCCACCCCAGACTGGATTGTGGGACTCTGCAGGGTCCACCTCACTCCAGAAATCTGTTTGCTGTATTTCTCTGTGGGTGGATGTACGTGTTTGGGTGGCTAAGTGCAAGTGTATGTGAGGGAACGTGTGCATATAGAAGCCAGAGTGTCTTTCTTGATTGCTCTCTACCTTATTTTTCGAGACAGGGTCTCTCACTGAGCCTGAAGCATTCCTATTTGCTAGACTAGCTAGTCAGCAACTTTGGGGACCCGCTTGTCCCTTTGTCCCCAGCACCGGGGTTACAGACCAGTTTGGCTGCCTCCAGCTTTTTCACATGGAAGCCAGGGATCTGAGCTCAGGTCCTCAGGCTTACATGGCAGGCACTTTCCCCACTGAGCCATCTCCCCAGCCCAAGAAGTCTGCTTACTTTTGTTGCCGAACTAGGAATGGGGCTATGTCATGTGGGGCAAACCAAAAGTACTCAAAAAAAATCCCAGAATGAATGAAATGAGACCCCTGGGTACTGGTCACCCCATAGAGCATTTTGGGGTTTTTTTGTTTGCTTTGTTTTTTTGTTTTTTGTTTGTTTTTCAAGACAGGGTTTCTCTGTGTAGTTTTGGAGCCTGTCCTAGAGCTCGCTCTGTAGACCAGGCTGGCCTTGAACTCACAGAGATCTGCCTGGCTCTGCCCCCCGAGTGCTGGGATTAAAGATGTGCGCCACTGCCACCCAGCTTTGGATTTTGCTTTAGACAGGTTCTTGTTCTACAGTCCAGGCTGGCCTCAAACTCCTGCCTTTGTAATTCTGCCTTTGCCTCCCAAGTGCTGGCATTATTAGCATCTGCTGTGATGACACTGACTTCACCCCATAAATTCTAGATACATTGGTTTGCAGGAGATCTGAACCTTGTAGAGAAATAATTATCAAACCAACATACTAGGATTTTCTTGGAATCACCTTGACATTTGTAGCCGAGAGCAGTTTGTTAGGGGCCCAGATGCCTGTGGGTCAGGAACCTGGCTGCTGAAATCCAAAGCAGACAGCCCTGAGCTGCATCCATGGCCTTTGGACTCTGGGAAGTGTCACCGATACTCCCCAGGAAGCTTGTGAAACCTCCTGTTTATAAAGGTTTCTCAGTCTGTTATACTTTCCCTCCGCCTGCTCTTAGTAACACGGATGTTTGCATTCCACAGGGATTCCTAGTGTGACAAGCTGTTTTCTCCAGCTAGTCACCCTCCTGGACCAGACTCCAAGCCCTGGCAGCACCCAGGGAGAGATTCCAGTCCAATGCACTGTCATTTCCCTGCTGGGCTGAGCAAGAGCTTCTGAGCTCATCTTTCCCTACTTCAACTTTGACCCCTACTAATGCATTGTGCTTGCCGAAGTCAGAGTAGCACAAAAAGAAAATATGGACATGTCATGTGACATGCTCCCTCCCAACTCCCTGTTCCTACCAGACAAAGGCCTAGTTGCTAGTGTGTCCTGGAAGGTGGCCTTGGTCTGCCAGGTCTTATGTTCAGCCTCTCAATGTTACCCCGGCCACACAGGTTGTTTCATCCTGTTCCCATCCCCCACCTCCACACCTTTACACACCCTGCTTCCTCCACCTGTTTGCTGACTTCCTCCTCCCATTTTTACTTTAAAACCCTGCAGAGATGACCTCCCTGGATGTATCCATCCTTGACTCCCTTGAGCAGAATCAGGTGGCCTTTCTCTGTCTTCTTACACCAATTTGCATGGAACTTTTAAAACATTAAGAAAAGAATCGCTGAAGTATGTGTCTTACCCATGCATCTGTGTTTGTCTCCGCAATAGCTCACCTAGCTAGGCTCTCATTGTGCCCCGATGCCTGGACTCCATCCCTCCCCTGGACTGGTGCAATATCCTCACAAACAGAATATTTTCTGGCTCTGCTCTTTTGGGTGACTGGAAAACTTAAACATCCTTTGACTGAAATGCTTGAACATTTCCGCTGGACACAATGAAATAAGCAGTCTCATGAGTCTGAGGCCAGTCTGGGCTAGGAATGCTGATTTGCTCCAGTTCTATAACTGATGTACTACACTTCGAGGGTGCCGCTTCAGCAGGAACATGCTCATCCACTTCCCTGAAAGAAATCCTTGAATCCCTGATACTTTCCAGAATAAAACCTAGATTTCTTAGCAGGTGATGCCCAAAGGGTGATCCCAAAGCATAAAGACTTATGGGGCCTGGGGTCACTCACAAAGCGGGTGTGGTATCTGCTGTCAGCCACTTTGGTTAACTGTCAGGAGCTGGGAGGCCCTTGGTACCCTTTATGCTTTCTGACTCTAGGACCCCAGTCTCACTGGAGCAGCTGCTGTAAAGGCCCCATGAGCAGCTCCGGACAGAAATGCAGAGTGTCCTCCAGCCAGAAGCAGCCCCTGAAGCTGTCATGATTTCTGTGGCGTGGGCTGAAAGCCATTGGGGACCTGATCTCACAACAAGGACAGAAGCCCAGTTCCTTACCGGAGGGACCACAGCTGCGGCTTGAATTCTGATTTGCGAGTTTCTTAAATTCCATGAGCTCAGCATGGTCCTTCTCGTATGTTCTCTTCAGATTCTCCACATACTGCATCATGACCTCTGTTGCCTTTGACATACGCTTTTCCTGCAGGGAAGAGGACACACAGGAACAGCTGAAGAAAGGGCACTGTCCACACTTGACCGCTCTGAGCTCAGTCCTGGGCTGCCAGAGTAGAGAGGATACAGGGACCATCAGATGGGAGTCTGTCCTGGGTGTCTGTTGCCTGTGGCACTGGGCTAAAGGTAGACTGGTACCTGTGTCCAGGGAGGAGAAAGGCAGCCACATACTGTGAAAGTGAGAGGAGGAAGGGATTGCTTTACTCTAGGAGAGACCAGGTGGGGGTGGCTTTGTGGAGATGGCCTGGAGCACAGATGTGGGTGTGGGCACATGGACATGGGCAGGATAGACAAAGGTCCAAGGCCAGGGAACTTCAAGGCGTCTGGAGGCAGAGGCAGTTCCTCATAGGACTTGTATGTAGAAGGTTTATCCTCCAGACAGGAATCTTCTAGAATGACAGTGGGCACCATTCCATAGTATGCTGGGACACTGAGCCTATCCAAGGGCTTCTGCAAGTCAGCATAGCACAGACATCCCGCTTCATATAAAACAAAAAAACAAACAAACAAAAAAGCAAGAAGCCCTTGGGTTTGCTGGGAGGAAGTGTTCTAGGGCTGGGTCGTGAAGAACTTAACATGCCAGATGAAGGAATCTTGACTTCCTCTGCAGAAAAAGAGGAATTACTGGATTTGTTAAAGTGAGGGGTGACCATGTGTGAGTGGAGACGGGACAGGAGTGAGACTGGTGGCAGGGACAGCAACAGGGGACAAGTGTCTGAGCTGCTCCAAAGGAACCAGTGAGGACACAGACGGCAGGGTGGGGGACCACTTTAAGAAGGATACAAGTCAGGCATGGTGGTACACATCTGTACCTTAGGGTCACGTGTGTGAGGCCAGCCTAGACTACATACTGAAATCCTGTCTCAAAAATAAATCAGTAGGGGCTGGAGAGATGGCTCAGTGGTTAAGAGCACTGGCTGCACTTCTAGAAGACTAGGGTTCAATTCCTGGGACCCACATGGTAGTTCATGACTGTCTGTAACTCCAGTTCCAGACAGGGATTCCCAGGGGATCCAATGCCCTCGTCTGGCTTTTGCTGGCACCAGGCATACACATGGTGCACAGATATACATGCAGGCAAAATACCCATACATGTATAAAAACAAAACTTTAAAAATAAATAAGTAAAAATGAAGAAAAGAGGGGTGAAAATAGAATCTATAACATGGGGAACCAGAAACATATTTGGAAGGGTCCCTTACATTGGAGGTATCCTTTCTTCCCCATACTCCCTAGGGTCCCCAAGAGGACTTAGCTTAGGCACTGTCTGTACTAGAAGGGTTTCCTATAAAGGTCCCCACACCCATGTAGGGCTGAGACTTCCCTAGCATCCTTCTGGTGTTGCCCCCAGCTGGACTACTTCCTAGGTCACACTGCTGAGTCAGGTACTCCTTCTGTAGAAAGACAAAGGGTGGGTCAGCCTGGTGGCTTGGCTGCCTTTCATTTCACAGGCAGTGTTTGGGGACACACCCTCAGAACATCCACTCACACACAGTGTGGCAGGACATGGTTACAACAGCGTTACAGGGGAGCTACATGCTTTACATGCATTACATCAGTCCTACACGGCAGACGTCATAAGCACCCCTGGTTTACAGCCCAGAGTGGCTCTCAAGTGTGGAGAGCTCTGTGAAGTCCAAGGCCACAGTGTGAATGAGAGAGACAGCCTGCAGGGGAACTCAGGCAGTTGGCACTGCAACATTGTGTGGAGGCCCCATGTGCCTCAAGACTTCAGAGTGGCCAAGGTGCGGAGTCTAACCTGAGCCTGCACCCAGCTCTGCCACTCACTAACGTATTGGCTTCCATATCCCTGACCGGAAACACTTACTGAAAGTGTTTGGGGCTCTGTCAGGTTTGGGAATATTGCACATACATAATGAAGTATCTTGGGAGTAGGACCCAAGTCCAGATACATTATTCATCTTATTATACATGTTGCCCAGAGATAATTTTCCACATTTTTAGTGCATTTTGTCAGTGTCTTGTCATAGAAAATTAGTTGTTTTCCACTTCTGACATGATAGAGACACTCAAAACATTTGGACTAGTTGGGATTTTCTCCTATCTGGAAGCTGTCTTTCTGAGAATATGCAACTTCATTGGGGCAGGGATGGGGGATGAAGGCCACTTTACGGGGTCACTGACTGGGTTGAATGAAACAGCACTTTCACCTGAAGCATGCGCTGTCCAACACTGGTTCTGCAGGAGCTGAGTATGCATTTTGTGAGAACAATGACGAGAGAGGAGCTCCCAGTCACATAGATTTACAAAACACACAGGAAAAGCTAATTAGACTTCTTTCATAGGGAATTCTCTAACTTAACTATGGTGGACCAGCTCTAAGGGAAGAAGGCAGTACATAGTCTACCTCAAATTTCCCAGTCCACAGAAAATCCCCCAAGGAATGCTTGGAAGGGTTAGTAGGCACCAACTAAGTTGGAATATCTCAACAACCTATATAGAATGCCTGGCCTAAGCCGGTCATCGAGGGGTGGCGCCTCTTCTTGTCCCTGTTTGGGTCATGGTGCTAATGACTACAGTTGGAACAGTGTCAGCCAGCAAGGCCCAGGGCTGGGGGGCTCACCTGGCGCACAGCCCCAACCACTTCAGCCCGGCTGGAGAGGCGGGCAGCCAGACGATGCAAGACCGCGATGTCTTCCAGAAGCTTCTGATAGGTCTCTCGGTGCTCACAGTGGTGCCAGATGGATGCTGAGGACTGAGGGATAACAAGGGGCATCACCCAGAGTTTCCAAACTGTTTTTCCACATGTGCATGCTGAGAACCTAACCCCAATGCGCAAGGGGGGACAATGGGTCCTTGGGAAGTGACGCCATCACAAGGGCAGAGTCCTTGTGAATAGGAGCAGTGCTCACACATCAGGGGCCCCAGAAATTTCTCTTATTCTCTTTCCACCATGTCAGGCTATAATGAGAGGCTGGCCGTCTGCAAGTCTGAAGAGGGTTTCAGTAAGGACCTGATCACGCTGGAACCCTAAGCTTGGACTTCTAGCCTCTAGAGTTAAGAGAAACAACATGTTTGTTGTTTAAACCAGCCAGACCAATGGTAATTCACTATAGCAGCTTGAGCTGACCGATGCATGCCAAAGCTGGATTCATTTTCAGGAAACAAGCCCTGGGTCTCATCCTGGCTAGGAGAAGAAACTCCAACAGAGCCCAGGCCACAGTGTCTTCCAGATACTGGAGAAGCCCAGTGGAGACACACTACATCTGGCTGGTCTCAAAGGAGTCATATCCAAGCCAACCAGCCCCCTCCTAAGGAGCTGCCCAAACCCTCAGGATCTTGTCTCAGCTACTCCTTGTCCTTTGTGGAAGGCTCTGTCAGGACTGTGGCTCCCTTCTCCTTTCCAGAGATAACTTCCGCTACTGCTTAGTGAGAGGAGTGTGATATTGGGCCTCACCCTTGGAGACAGCAGCTCTGCAAGGACCCCTTAAACTAGGCCCCTCAATTACCGTAATGGAAGCTTTGAAGTTTTCCAGTTCCTTCTCGGTGTTCTCTTCCGTCAGGTTGCGTTCCCTTTCAGCCTGGTTAATTCTAGATTCCAAGGTGTAGCTGTCATTTCTAAAGGCCAAGGACAGTTGTACAAACACGTTCTGTTGGGAACAAGAGTGTGGTAGAGGTGCTGGGAGAAGTCACTGCTGCCAGTAAGGCCGCAGGTGGGATTCTTGCTCAAGTTCTTTACCAGAGTCCTTGGAACTAGTCACCAAGGCCCCCATGTGCAGATGAAGCCTCTTTCACAGTGAAATACACAAAAATGCACAAATGACAGCCCTTGAGCTGCAGAGGACAAATGTAACCATCAGACAATAGCATTCTGCCTTTCCCTGAATCAAGAGCGTGACGTGAGCGCCCGTGTTTGGGTTGAGATGGGTTTAGACCAGTACAGCTGGCCCCGTAAGCAGTCTGGATTCGTACTGGGATCTATTGTGTGTGGGAGCAAGCGGGGGTGGGTTGTAGAGGACTGGGAAGTTTGCATGAAACCTCTGATCTAAAGAAGTGCCAGGTGAGCTTCAGGCTTGTGGATTTAAAGCAAACTTCAGTGTCCAGCCTCATTATTTCTAATTCCTCTGTCAATTTTAAGTAACTTCCAGGTTAGACAAGACCAGGCATGGATCTGTTGAGATAAACTTCCAGGAATAAATAGTCCAGTCCAAGATGAAACACGCCATGTGGGAATAATTTTTTTTTTAATTTTTAGAACATTCTGTGTGCATGGGTGTTTTGCCTGTGTGTATGTCTGCACACCACGAGTACAGTGTCCTTGGAAGCCAGAAGAGGGAGTTGGATCTCCTGGAACTGGAGTCACAGATGGTTGGTTGTAAGCCACCATGTGGGTGCTGGGAGTTGAGCATAGGTCCTCTGGGGCCTTAACCACTGAGCCATCTCCAGCCCCCAAGAATGAAGTTTTTAAAGGTGGCGCTGATCAGATAGGGAATTCCTAGGGTAACAGGAAGCTACCAAGAACTAGGCTCATCCTATTAATACCACTCACTGCAATACATTACTACTGGGGAAGAAAAATAGACAAATGGACTCCACACAAGAAATAGAAGGGCGTGAAGGAGGGGCCTTCAGTTCCAATTGCTTCCTCTGCCCTGCCTGAAGCAAGTGGGAGGAGCAACTTGCTTTCTTTCTCTTTCTTCTTTTGCGGTGTGTGTGTGTGTGTGTGTGTGTGTGTGTGTGTGTGTGTGTGTGTGTTGTAGTGTGTATGTGTGTGTTGTAGTGTGTATGTGTGTGTGTGTATGGCGTGGTGTAGTGTGTGTGTGGTGTGGTGTGTGGTGTGGTGTGGTATGTGTGTGTGTGGTGTGGTGTGTGTGTCTGTGTGTGCAACAACATACATGTAGAGGTCAGGGAGTTGGTTCTTTCTGTGTACCGTGGATCATGAGGTTGGCAGCTAACACAGCATATACTTTTTTTTACTCACTAGCCATCTCATCAGCTCATGTACTCTGTGGTCACTGACTCTGTCTGGCTTCTGAAGTTCATATAGCATGGCCAATGGCAGTTATCTCCAGACAAGAACTGACCCCTAGATGATGACGGTGGTTCTACTGAAAATAACCCCTTATTGATCATCACAGTGTGAATTTTGTAGACCTTGCTACATTTAACCGCACAACAACTCTCTAGAGTGAAGACTCCTACACCCATTTACAGGCAAAGAGACCAGGACTAGAGACATCATTAACTTGTTCAAGGAGACAGAGGTAGCAGAGCAAGGACTTGACCTTAGATGACCTGGTTCCCAAGTCTGTTTTACTCCCACCATGTTGAGGGCTGTGCTAGCACACATCTGAAGACAGGACCTGGCATTAAGTGAGCTGCCGTGGTCAATCTCCACAGATGCTGGGGTGGACTTCGACTCACAGCCCAGTGATGGGGAGTCTCTCCTACCCAGCCTCAGTCTGTGAACAATTCTCAGTGCTTAGCTCCCTGTGCCTGACTCGAAGGGTCCTGAAGTCAGTTGGAATATTTATATCCAACTCTTCCTCTTGGTAAATCTTGAGTCTGGGACCTTGAGTGAGTTGTTTTATTGCCCGGTTTCTCTTCTGCTTTAAGTCCTGCTCTGTCCACTTTGCAGAGCTACTGGAAGCTCAGCTGGATGGAGGGCCGTGCGCACGCTACAGTAATAGCATCTGGTTCAAGGTCATTGTGCTACCTGGGGTAGACACTTCAGGTTACCTCTGCTCACTTATCTGGTCCACCTCGCCAGTCCTCCCTGTCCCACCTCCGCCATGTTTCTTGTCCGTCTGTCCCTTCACCAGAATGAAAGCTCTTCTCAGCTCACCCATCACCCAGCATGGGGACAAGGAGGCCCACAGGGTTGTCATGGTCAGATCAAGGAAGGCAGTGCCAACAGCTTTCACACTGTCAGCTGAGCTGGCCTTCCTGCTACCCAAACTCTCAGGGACAAGCAACTTTGTCCTCCAGACCAAAGTCTCAAGCTTGAAATCTGGCCACATTTTTAAAAATTGAAATAATAGAAACCCATCCATCAAGGGACATTAACAGTCTCTGAAGGTGGAGGCATCAGCAACCTTCTCACCTCCCAGACTTGTCAAAATCCTCCATAAATGGAGGCAGGCAAGGAAAACTCAGCAGTGGGCTGGGAACAAAGATCCAGAATATTCCACAGTCACTTGTTCTCACTCTTGTGTAAGAATGTTGGGGCCACAGGCTGGAGGAAGCAATGTTTGGATAAACCTCAGCAAAGAGAGTCACTACATCTCACAAAGCCCTTGAATCACTTACCTCAACTTCCTTTTCCGTGAGTGGAGGGGCGCTGTGAAGGAGAAAAAAATGCATGAGTGAGCATTATCCAACTCATTAACTAAAGAAGAAGGCGACTTCGGATGACCATGCATTGCCAGAAAAGGACTGAGCAGAGTTTGTGAGAGGACAAGGATCCAGAATCTTCTTTGTCCCCTCTGTCCTCTGTGAGCCACTGACCTTTATAGAGGTGGTGTGGAAAACATTAGATGTTGGAGTCAGCCCTCCAGGACAATCACTATGAACCCTCTAAATTCCAGCTTGCTCATATGTAAAAATCAGAATAATAACAGCTACCTTATGTAAGTCTTATAAGAAATATATATATATATACATATATTTGCACATACACACATGTATGCATGAACATGTGTGTAGTATGTGTGTGTGTGTAAATACAGTGTCTTTCACACACACCAGTTCCATATTCCTGGAACCAACCAACTATATATTGAAAGCTTTAAAACAAATTGTGTCTATACAGAATTTATTCAGACTTCTTTGGCCACATCCTCTAAGCAACACAGAATTGCACTTATTTATATAGAACTTATACTACATTGGCTATCATAAATCTGTAGCGATCATTTAAAGTATGGGAGGGTTGTATAGACTATGTAAGTACTGTGCCATTTTGTACAAGGTCTGGAGCATTTGGATTTTGGTATCTGTGCTGTGTGTGTGTGTGTGTCCTGGAACCAACGCCCACTTCGGGTTAGCTGTATATGACATCTTGGCTATTATTACTATTCACCCCCAGGCTGTGAGGAATCAGAAAACACACATGAATTTTTCACTTACTAACTATGTGTCTGATCTGAACTGTAGCTTTTGTGGGGCTTCTAACACTGCAAAGACTAATCCTTCCTTCCTAGACTCTGAAGACTGTGACAAACATCCATTTGGTCTAGAAACTACAAGATAAGAAAGGGGTTGGTAGTGTTCATTGCAGCGAGATTCTCCGAAGCCCGGAATCAGGGTGGCGAGTGAGTACCAGCTGACACAGAAACCTGAGAGGTTTCTGTGCAGTTTCCACAGCCTGTCCCAGTCAGCAGACTCCTTATCTGCACACCCACTCCATGTGGCTTCCAGTGCAGCACTTAGTAACTCAAGCTGGGCCCATTGGAAGCCCAGATAACGTAAATACCACACAGGCGCTTTCCTGTGCTGGGTGGGGAGGCCAGAAGGGGTCCAACTCGCGTCAGAGGACTTGGCAAGCAAGCAGGCCATCAATAAACTTCTCAGGAAACACAGTTTTCCTCCCTTGGATGGGTACGGAGGGACCCTGAGAGCAAAGGTAGGGGTCAACCTTCTCTGCAAAGGGCTGGTTCTCACCCTTGACAAGGGACATCGAGAGCCTTCCTGTCAGGATGAGACAGCAAGACCTTGTGGCCATTAAGCCACAGAAAACAGAGCATGGGGACAACAACAGCAAAGGTGTCTGATGCATTCAATTCTTGTCACAGCCCCACCCCACAGGCCCTGTCCTCTGAGGGTCAATGCACTCTCTCGTTATGTAGAGCAGGCATATGTCTGGGGGTTATGAAAGTGCTCAGAATGTGCCTCAGACAGCTAGATTCATTTGGGTATTACATGAAATTTACATCTTTCCATAATTAATTCAGCAAGCTTGGTTTTCTACTTTGGTGACACATTCTGCCATGGACTACAGAACACATCAGTATATGTACAGTAAGGAACAGGGTGGTGTGATGTCAGCCAAGTGGTTACATGGTACAGCCAGTTCTTAAGGCAGAGCTCAAGACTTGCGTGGGCAGCAAGGAGGTGGAACCATGGGTCTCCAAGACAATGGAGTAATGGAGTGTCTTCTCAGGTAAACCTGTGTGCCCTCTTTGACATATCTGTTTAAATCCTTTGCCCATTTTGGGAAACTCTTTATTTAAATTTAATAGAATTACAAGAATTCTTTGCAGACTCTAGAAACATGTACCTTACCAGGTAAATATATTTGTCCCCATTCTGTGGGTTGCTTTTCACTTTCTAGACAGCATTGGCAGCGCAGACTTTTTATCAGGATTATTATGATGATGACGTACTTTTCACCTCTTCTTTCTAAACCTTACGCTTGTGCTTTTCCTGTCTTATCTAAAGCCGTGGACCAGCTCAAGCTCATCGCTCCTAAGGATTGCCTCTTGCTGTTTCCCCCCGCCTCAAGTGTTCTACAGCATTATCCCTTCCACTTAGGTCTGTGGTCCGTTTTGAGCCAGGTGTCTGCGTACTACGGTAGCTTCGCTCTTTTGCATGTGATCTGCCAGTTGTCTCACTGCCGTTTCCTAAAACTACTCCTTTTGTTTGGAAAGCTACTCACCAAGTCCTTGCATGTGTGGCTTCTTCTTGCATCCTGAACCCCTTACTACCCCGCCGTCAAGGCCATCTTTGTCTCTCCACACGCCTCACTCTGATGCCACTCTCTGTATCGTCCTGCTTCATGGTCCTCCTAGCAACATCATCATCCCAAATCCCTACGCTTTACTCTCCGGTCCAGTTCTCAAGGATGTGTTCTGTGTTGACACTGTCCCAAGTCCCTGCCCACACATGGTCTCTGCCATGGCAGACCACTTTGACTCTCGTAAGGGCAATGAAGCCAAGACTGGAGGAAAAAAGGCACTCGATCCCTGTGAATGCTCAGTCTTCACGTGGTTTTGGATGTTGTGCATCTCTCCATATACAGCATGTCCCACAGGCAAAAGGTTCATTGGATTGAACCATGTGCCCTGTGTCCCAAAGCTCACCACTCTCACAGCTCTGTTGACTCTTTTGTCCTCAAAGGTTCTTGCCTGTGAATCCCGTATACTCCTGGCATTGGAAATATCAACCTGGCCCATGCTTGTACTTTGTGTTTGGATGCATCAGCCCTGCCTGGACCACTAGACTGTATCCCTTCTGGGATAAGGACCAAGACTGATACTCCTTTGTGTTCCACCCCGGCTCTATCATGGGTGCCCCCTGAAAGGTCTTCAAAAGCTGAGGTTCTGATTTTACCTTCCGGTGAGTGACTTGTGAACCCTCAGTTTACGCAGCAATATGTCAGAAATGTTGGGCATCACATCCAGACCACTCTTTGCCTCTTCTTCCTCAGTTCCAGGGGTGAGTTCAGAAGAGACCCCTGGAAAATAAGAGTGCTTCCTTAGAGGATGCCTGTTGGAAATCATACTAGCCACTAGTTTCAGGGCTCAGGAAGACTGTCAACACTTGTAAACACTTTGTCACATGCCAGAAACCTTACAATTGTCATCTACCTTACTTTACCCTCACAGAGCCCTGACGAGCTGCTTCTCAATCATCCCATTTTACAGGTGGATAATATAAGGATCATCACAGTTGGTAACTTGCTGAAGATTACAGGCACAGTAAATGACAGCCTGACTGCAAACCAACATCTGTCTGTCCCCAGCTGTTTGTTCCCATCACTCTCCACTGTGTCAAGTCAGAGCATACATCAGCGTTTAGTTGTGATGGCAACTGGAAGCTGGTTGGCTCTTTGGTTATGGTGTCTGGAGAAAACCTCCCTATTTGGCAGACTCTTCAAGAGATCTCTTGACTGATAATTCTTTCCCAAATAAATTCAAAAGTGCTGTTTTCTAGCTCCTACCTAGAAATCAACATCTGGTTTGCCACCAAATAGTAACAGAAGCGGGTGTTTTTCAGGATAAAGCTAAGGTCACCAGCCCTGTCACAGAAATACGGATGCCTGCTCGTCAACAGAGCCAACAAACAGCCTTTGATGCCTCCTGAAATGATGCAGGATTGTATCCGGGAAACAGAGAGAGCAAACCATAAATCTCTCTTCTGCTTGAACAGCTTTTGGGCCCTGCAAACCAGCCCTTTCCTGGATCTGTCCCCTATTCCCAGTTGCTCTTTAGGGAATCCTACAGTTCATGCTCTCTAGACACCATCCCAGGTCTATACATATTCTGCTTTGTTGCTGTTTAAGAGACCTAGGTGTGCTCTAGCAATTTTAACACAGGACATTGGCCAGCATCCTTGGCATTGACCTTTGCATCCATGGAGGACAGGCTTGCTGTGACTTACTGTGTAGTCACAGCATATTTAGAGCAAAGTAAAAGCCTCACACTTCTTTCATTTGAGCCAGTTCAGGATCCCTATCCTGCAGAGTGAGTGTTCTGTATTTCCATGCAGCAGTCTACTCATATTTACTTTCTTCCAGGGCCTTTGACCTAGCAGTGTTCCAAACTTGCTTGTCCATTTTCCAGAATTACAGGCCAGGCTAGAGATCAGGACTGAAGACAGAGTTGTAGCAATCATCTAAATGGAGTTAAGGCTGGGATTCCTGTCACCAGAGGAGACCAAGCAGGGAGGGAAGGAGGCACACTTGGCCTCAGTAAATAAGTTTTAAACAATTTGATCCTTTCTGATAACAGAATGGTATTACAGGTTCCCTGATATCTCAGTAATATAAGGACCATCTGTTGGGGAACGAACAGTCAGCCTTGTGTTTCTGGGTATACAACATTAGACTAGATGTCCCTGTAGCTACCTGCCAACTCTTGGGTTTTCTGCTGGCATTTATTGCTCATGGACAGTTCCACGTGTCAAGTGGCAAAACTGTGTCAGCTGTGGCTTCATTCTGTATTTCTACCACACTTAGCAGAGAGTCAGTTAGGCAGGGAGCTCCAGAAACTCTGTGTGTAACTGAAACATAACAAATCTAATGTCATATGAAGGACACACCAGAGGCTTCCGCCTAAAAAATTCTTTTAAGTTGAGGGAAATGAGGAGGAGGAAGAGGGATGAGGATAGAAAGGAGAAAAGAAACTAATTAGGACTTCTAGCCCTTGTAAAACAGCAATGCCGTAACTGGATACCGGGACCAAACGCCATCTTCTTGAAAGCAACCAAATAAGCAACCAAAAAGTAAACAAACAAACAAACAAACAAACAAACCACCTCTTCATACAACAACATTCAAATACAGGAAAGGGCCGTATTTTAAAAAACAATGGCTAAAGACAGAATTTCCTAGAAATAATGTGGTGCCCCCCACCTGTGAGGCTCCTTTTCTTCCTCCCTCAAAGAACAAGGGTTTTGTTGGGTTTGTTTGTTTTGAGATAGAGTGTCACTATATAGTCTGAGCTAGCCTTGGACTTGTGTGGTCCTCTCGCCTCAGCCTCTTGCATGCCGGGATTACAAGCATGCCTCTCACCACCTGGCTCAAGAATGGGTTCTGGAGAAGAGGGAAACTTCGAAGAATGCCAGAGCACAGAACAAGGAAGGAAGTGGACAGAGTGAGTAGGCAGCCTGTGGAGGGAAGTCAGGGAGAAAGTTTCTCCAGAAGGTTCTACATTCTACCAACACTGCAAAGACAAGAGAAAAGCTGCTGTCTGTCTTGCCATGTAGCTTTTCCCGCCAAAGAGGGGAGAGGAAGGGAGCAACGGCTGCCTGGTACTGTATCAGAATTGCTTACCTTGAACAATACGTTGGGGTTTACCAGAAGGGAAGACTAAAAATAAACAAATAAAGCCATCTTTTCTGATGAAGTGAGTAGCAGGAGACGTATGGACAGTTCCAGCTGAAGCTACCTCATGCCTGCAAGTCCCACTTCTGGAAAACAGCAGAGTGGCCAAAGTCCTGGGATTTTGTCTTTCTTTTCCTCCCTTGGCCTGGCAGAAGAGTGAATGGCTCCTGGGAAGGGTTGGGTCAAGTCTGGATAATAAACATCTATGCAGACTCTCGCTATGTTTCTATCCTAAATTGTGCTCCAAACCCCACTAATCCCCAGCCGCAGGAACAGAAATATCCCATCTTGGCACAATGAACTCAAGTTTTGGACTCTGAACAAAGGAATAGAAAAGCAGCAGAAAGGCAATCCTACCAAAGCTGCCGCTCACAGCTTCGCCTCCACTCCTCCGTCCCTCCCACCCAAGCGGCGAAGGCGCACACCCAAGCACCAGTCCGCAGCTAAACCACCGAGGAGGAGGAGGAGGAGGAGGAGGAGGAGGAGGAGGAGGAGGAGGAGGAGGAGGAGGAGGACACAGAGAGCTCAGTCGAGGCAGGAGGGAGTGAACGAAAATAAACCTGCCCTGCACACAAAGAGAAGAGAGGAGAACCAGACAGAAGCGGCCGGATCAGAAAGAACTGAAATGAAAATGAGCGACATGGCAGCTAGACAAAAATATTAGAGTTAAAAGAGGAAGGAAAGACGGAAGGTAGAAGGAAGGAAGAATGGAAACACACAGGAGGCAGATGTCAGGATGGACCCAGAGATGCAAGGAACACAGAAAAAAGCCAAACTGCATTTCTGTGCAAAATATACACTGTCAATGCTTAACTCCAGGAGAAATTAGAACCTGAAAAAAAAAATCTAAAGAAGAAACCAGAACAAGATAAGAAGATCAAACACAGATGGACAGGGATTCCTATTTAAGGAAACAAAGTAATGACTGAGAGCAGAATGAGCTAGAAATTGAAAACACAGCCAGTCGGTATATTGAAAATGAGGACATGTAGACAGTTTCACTTGAGTTGGTAAGGTGGTTGGGACAGATTGAATGATCATAAAGAATGTACAGAGGAAAAGAAAGATGGAAGGAGGTGGGTCCTAAGTTGAGTGCTACTGACCATTTCATCTAACAAACAAGATATTCAAAGACATAATAGGGAAAATTGTCCTCAGTGGAGGGGAGAGATGAACTTGGAGGTTGACTGTACGTAGGATGCTTCTGTTTTTAAAGCATGTCTATAAAGAAATGCTACTGCTGTTATTCTTAACAGAAAAAAAAAAGACACACACAGGGAACACAAGGGCTAATGGACATCAGAAACCAGCCTGCCCCGGGCTTCTCTACAACCCTGAACACAATGGAAGGAGTTAGCCAAGAATTTTATAACTGTGCGGGCTAGTGCTAACCAAGACAACATTGTCAAATATGCTACACCTCGGGACACGGAACACCTCTGGTGCTTGCTTCCCAGGGAAACCACTAGATAAGGAGAGACAGCTAAATAAGACATAGGTCAAATTAAAATGCCTAGGGATTTTACAGATTCTTACAGCCACAGGGAATTTACAGATTTTTACAGCCACAGGAAGGAACTGGTGGTAAGGGTGAAACTCTTACTCGAGTCCACATCTAGACAACTGTGCAAACCGGTTGCAGAGCGGAGTGTAAGTGTTGTATCTCGGACGTCGTACGAAGAAGAATTCAGCATTCAGACAGGCAGAGACGGGAAAGCAGGAAGACATGGCAGGAGAAGAAAATGCTTAATGAGATGTCCTGCTCCCGTTGTTTTCTCCATGCTCCAGCTTTGAGGTCTTTTTAATCTGGGAAAGACTGCCTCCCCCAGGCTGGCTAATTCCAGGAGCGAGGGGGGAAACTCTCCTTTGAGTGTATCTTTGGCATCTAAACCGACCTAACCAAACTAGAACCTATATTCCCAACCATCTCCTTTATCCATCTCGCACACCAAGTCAGTGTTCATCCTTGCCTTACCTCACCATGTAGCCAACACTCAGATACCTCTGTCCTTTCCAGTCTGCTAAAATTACTCAGACGATCTGACCCTAAGCTTACTTAGGGTACCGACTCTGCTCAGCCCACCCCTTACCGTGAAAACCCCAGTAAAGGGCTGAGACTGCTTGCTGTCCATCTTCTACCTCCTGACTGACCCTGGTCCCTTCCCAGGTGGCCCAGGCGGTACTGTACCTTCTATGCTAGGAAGTCTATGAGTATAAACTTCTCTGATGACAATTATTTCTCGGTCCCCATGTCTTGCCATACGTGACCCAAACAATGCTGGGTAAAGAATTTAGAACAATTACCCAAAACCAAATCATTAATGCCAGGAAAATCCACCACAACTCTAAACCCTTACTGTATTTCCTAATACATTGTCAAAACTAATTTCTCCTCTTTGGAGGAAGTGATTACGGAGATTCAGCAAGTTGTAGAGTTTCATGTCGCTTCAACTCAAACTCAATTAAATTGTAATGTTTTTATCTGGAAAGGTACATCTAGTATACTCTCTCCCCTTCCTCCCTGCCTCCTCCTGTATTTGAGGAAAAAGGGACATTTTGGTGCAACAAGGTAGTTTTTTCTCTCTTCTCTCTTCCAAGGCTAAGCCACTGGTTAGAATAAATTTCTTTGA